GGGCTAAATGCAATTCAATAAATCAGATTTTTTGCTCTTTCTCTTTTTCACTGTACCTTCTAAGAAAGCACATACGTTCTATACATGTGTTGTGTTTATAAAGAAATAATTGGTGTCTCCTCAAGCTATGTAAATGCCATTATAACCTCTAAGGTGGGCCACAGTTCACTCTTTCCTTGAAAAATGTTAATTGAAGACTATTGCACATAATGATAGGCCTTTGTATTTTCTCAGAATATTTTGCTGTTTTGCTTAATTATATGATAGACCAGTTTAGTATGTCCCTACTTTTCCTTTCCTCATTTTAAACTTTGAACTTTTAACCTCTGACAGTCAAATATTAAGTAGAAGTACTTCAAGTGACTTGATTTTAAATCTTCTCGGTTTTCTGATTTATACCTTTTGGTGTTGTGAGATGTCTAATTTCCTTTATTTCCATAGTGACAGTGAAATGACTGCTCTTTGGTGCAGTTCTCTAAGGGTTAAGTACCAGAAACAGAAAGCCAAGGTAAAACCTTCTGCTTGGGTTCACACTCACAGTTTGTGTCCCACAAATAATCTGTCTCTTCCAGCCCTTAATTTTGTGAGATGAGACATAAGCAAACGCTCTAATTATATCCCAGAAGTTTTGTTTAGGGTTTGTGTTAGTTTTAGGGTACTTAGGAAAAGTTCTGTGTTTCACAAGGACAGGAGTAAGTCCTTTTGAAAATATGAACAAGACTCATAGCTATAAAATCTGTAGGAAATTATTACATATAAAAATGTTAGTTCTATCTTAATACTTAATATAATTTAGTATCTGTTTTATATAAACTAGCTTTAAATTTAGGGGAGGAGGCTATTTCATTAGTTGTAGGGATGATGAAAATCAAACTATAAAGTTATTGTGAAATAAAGTAGGATAGTTTAATTGAAATTTTGAAAATACTTCAGCTTTTGCTTTTGTAGAGAGAGAGAGAGTAATTGCTACAAGAGAGCTTGAAACTAAACCTAGCTATAAATGTAACTTGATTTTTTTCCTTTCTAATACTGGGAAGGAACATGAGCTCTGCAACGTCCAGTAGCAGCCTTTTCAAAGAAGCAAGTTTGGCTGATTACAAATAACCAGTTTGCTTATTTATCATGAATTGTGGAAGACACAAATGTCAGTACGTATTGTTCATTCAATGTAACCTGTGCCAGTTGGCGGAAGTCTCAGAGGAGTGCTTTGTCCTTTCCTCTGTCAGAACAGTGACTCTGTGTTAAGCCAAATCCTTCTGTGCATGAATGGAGAGATTGGCCTCGCCGTTACCAACGGTCTCACAGGCATGAATGTTTATAACACACATCAAAGATCTCTCTTGAGTGTTGTCTGGAAAAATGTTTTTGTTTGTTTTTTGAGCAATAGAAGGCTAATATTAGTGCTTGTTTGAGTACTAACCATAATATACCTGAAGACATCAAGGCACAACGCAGATATGTATTTGTATTTCAAATGAGTAAAATTTGGGACACAGGCCTTTTAGAATCCAGGAAACAAAATATCCTCTTCCCTATTTTCTCTTAACTCCAGTTTAATTAAAAGTTAAACCACAGTAAAATATAGAACGAGTCATAGGTAGTTAATATTAAAATATTGGTTACTGAAAAGTCAATTGCTTATTAATTCTGTGAACTAAGGTCACACTCACTGCAAAAATCAACATTGCTGAGGCTTCTCAATAGAGAGCTGCCCCTCTAGCTGAATACTGTGAACTTCCCCCGCCTCATTGCACTTAGTCTCATTATGAGCTTACATTGTTTTGTTTGCTCTGCTTTTTAAAAATCCCCCTGAGCGAGGCATGGTGGTACACAGCTATAATCCCAGCACTCTGGGAGGCTGAGATAGGAGAATCACAAGTTCAAGCCCACCTAGGGCAATTTATTGAGTCCCTGTCTCAAAATAAAAAGGATTGGGGATATAGCTCAGTGTGTAGGTCCTAGGTTCAATCCCTGTTACTACTTAAGAAAACAAAGCTCCCTATATTGAATATCATGTAATTATATTTCCTGTTAAGATATTCAAAACTTCCCTCTTAGAAGTAAAATTTTTTTACCTTCATTGTATGTCCTCCCTTTGGTCTAACCTTGTGTTTCTTAGTTAATATCCCTCCCTCCCACACACACTGTTGTTGCCAAATTACTGCCCATAGTCCATCCATACCTGCTTTGGTGCCTTCTTTTGATAACTAAATAAACCACAGACTACTATGTCTAATTTTGACATATTCAAACTGTCCTTGTCTTGCTGGTCTTAAACATTTGGAATTTATAGCATGAAGCCAATGCAGATTTCTGGTCTCTGGAAGAATGGCTTGACCGCAGCCACCCCGATCTGGGAAGGAATGTCTTGTGTTGGGTGGAGTGAAGGGTGATGGGGGTAATGTACCACTTTAGCTGTATGTGCATGTGTTCTCTGCTGCAGGCTTGTCCATGCGATCGTGCCTGGAGCACTCTGGTTTCCAGGTGACAGACACGATTCACGGTATAGTATGAGACCTCTGAAGTTGGAGCATTCTCTACAGCTTTAATTTCTTTCTTTTAGTTCTTGGATTCAAGAAATGCTTTTAAAAAAGAAAATTGTAATGCTTGTTAAGTAGCACCAGCTACAGTTTGTGCTGTGCTTAAAAAGAGGTACAGTGATTAAGATTTTAGAATGTTTTATGTAGATATATCACTTTGCGGGGGTTGGGTTTGTTTTGGTTTTTGTCCAAGGCAAATCAGATTCCTTTCTTCTGTTTCCTCAGTAGAAAATGACAAACATTTAGTAATTTTAGAAATTTATTGGCCTCAACTTGAAAATTTAATTGAAGTACTTAAATTCTTCCTTTATTCCATTTTAAGCATTAAGGAAACATCATGTATATCTATCTCTTTTAGTCAGAGTTAGCAATAAACTTCCTTCTTTGCGCTTGTCAGTTAGTGCACTTTTGCATTTCTTAGGATACCCAGGCCTCAGCAGTGCTGCTCTATAAGGCCTGGAAAAATGTTCCTAACAGGATAACCCTCATTTGTTTCTGTGAAAGGTATTTTAGCCTTGGAAGTCCCAAAAGTCTTGGGTCAGGAGGTTGTCTGGATCAGACATAAATTTTGAGAAGGCCCTGAAATGAGCCTCCACTCACCAGCTATCAGGTTTTGTCACCTAGAGCCTGTTAGAGTCGTCCATCCATGTTTGAGTCATACTGTTTTAAATTGTTATATTATTTAAAAATTCAAAAAGAATGCTCTTTGGGATGATGGAAGATTCTGTAGAGGATACCATAGAATATTAGAAGTCACTTGTGATTAAGTGCTCATAAACTAATCACATAAGTTGTACTTTAAAATCATTGCATTGAGATCTCACATTTTAATGTGTTCTGTAAAATATTTTTATAGAATACTGTAAAAACCATAGAAGCAATAAGTATAGAATTTTTTTTCATAGAAATCAGGGAGAAGGAAGGTTAGGGACCACGATAGCACTCAGAAGAAAACATTGCAAAGAAGAGTCGTATGGCTGCTGTATTGTCTGTAGTCACGACTCTTGCACTTTTTTGCCCCACTTCGCCTGAGATGGAAAAAGAGTTGCATCATCAGTAGAGACTTGGCAGGGTTAGGCCAGGGACTTTGTTAAGAGTCTTCTCTCCTAGAGAGTTAGGTGTGGTTAGGTAACAGATACTAGAAGTCTTCAAAACCACAGTCTAGGCTGCATAGTAACAAAGTCCAGTACCACTTCAGGACTAAACAAGCATCACACCTCTGTGGTGTTGACAACAGTGGAGTTCCTCCTGTTATTCTCAGGGGTGCTGAGAACTTGGGAGTTTCTAGAACTCAGCTCCAAAGACAATCCCAGATTAGTGGAAAGTAAGTTGTTTTTCCAAACCAGACATCAGAAGCTGTGGAAATTGAGTCTGGCCAACAGTTGAATTACTCTTTCCCACTCATGTGCCCCAGTTTGCTCTGAATTGTATAGAGAGCCTGTAAAGAGAAACAATAGCTGAATGATCTGTGTAGTTCTTTTTTGATAGCAAAGAGGTAGTGGGAAGAAGAAAATATGGCAGAAGTGTGTTCCACAGCTACTATTATTTGTAATGTATGTATTTTATTATGGCATTGTTTGGAACTGCTAATAACTTCATTTCTTTTTTTCTTGCTTTTTTTTGGTACCAGGGATTGAACACAGGACCTTGTACTTGCAAGGCAGGCCTGAGCTAAATCCTGGGCCCCTGATTTCTTAAAGCACTCCCAGTTTGTTATGCTCTTGATGGTATCTCAATTCTTTGGGGCTGAGTTAATAACTTTTCCCAGCCTGTCCCAGGAGCAGCCTATGCAGTAATAGATCTTTAAAGACACTTTAAATATTTCAAATAACTACCTGCTACTTCATGCCACTTTCTGTTGGCCGCCTCTGGTAATTCATTTATATTCCCACACCCATGTATACACAGACACTAGGGAAAACTGTTGTGCTGGTTTGTTTCATCTCACAAATGGGACTTTACTAAAGTAGTTTAGCCATCAACCTACTTCCCTTATTCTCAGACGAATCTTGTATTTAGTACTGCCAGTCAGATCCCTAGCACTGCAGAACAAAAACAAAAACTTGTCCAAAATGAAAAATTTTATTAAGACAGTTTGAGGATTAAATGTTTTTAAATCCTAAAATTATATAACACCAAATTTTATCAGTGACGTCTTCTCATCTTAGGCCCTAAAGTTGTTTTGCTACCTGTTAATTTTCCTTTCCTTTTCTAGGCCTGAAATAGAACAGTTTGAAAACCAGTGCTCTTCAACATGAACATAATACTTCAACAGTCTCGTTGGAAATACAGAGCCTTAAAATATGATTTTATCAGAGAAGTAACATTTGAAACCTTGTATGAAGTATATGTATTATAAAAGTAACATGCTTTTAAGCAATTTTAAAATTAGATAACATTTAAAGTAAAAATGAAAATTCAGACTTTTAGAAATTTAGATTTTTTAATTTAAAAGTTCTTGGACAATCAGAATCTTTCAGCTTTTAAAATCTTTGGTAACTTTAAATCCAAAATATTAATTATACCCTTTTTATTATTGCTACTGCTTAAGCCTGTTTTATTTCCTACATCACGGGCGAATGAATACATGACTATAACAGATTGTCTGGAAACCAAGTCCAAAATAGGAAGGAAATTAAGTGAGAGGAAGCCCATGGTAGGATAGTTTTACCATGAGAGAGGGTAAATTATAATATGGAATTCCCCCATTTTCATTATATGCAGTTTGGTGTCTTAAACATATCTGAGACATTCTGATTTCTTAGGTTTTGAAATTTCAGTGTTTATTTGTAAAAATCTTGTTATTATGGAGAATGTCAAATAAATATAAAAGTAGACAGAAGACTGATGAACTCCAGGTATATTTGTTTTCCCCACCTGACCAGTCTTCATCTTTTCCTTCACCTCTTTTCTGAGTTATTTTGAAGCAAATTCCAGACATCGCATTATTTCTTACAAACAAACAAAAACCAAACAACAAAAATTTATATATGACAATGATGTTCACATCAAAATAATTAGGTGTAAGCTCCCCAGCACCTCCCCACAAATGAAATAATACTCTAATATTAAAATAACTAGTGTTCAAATTTCTAATAGTTTTATACTTATAGATGATAATTTTTATTAATTTGCACCTTAGAGGAAAGTTTGAAGTTATGCCAAATAATTTATACAACATTTTAATTCCTGCCTCATATTTATATCCCTGAGTAAAATCCCAGAGATTACAAAATAAAATTTTATTTCCTATCTTCCTGGACAGAAAATATCTCTGACCTCTCTTCTGGCAAAGTGAATAGACCTTTACTTGACCTTCTTACTTTCTCACAACTCCTTTCCGGCTTGAGGCTTCCTGGTTGTACTCTTCTTGTTTGCAGGCCTTAGGGAGCCTGGGCATTCTGTACTGAGGAAACAGAACTCAGGGCTGCATATTGCAGAAGTCCATCTCACCTTTGCAATGGTGCTCTTATGATGTAAGTTCTGTATTTATTTCAGATGAAGGGGCGGGTGGGAGTGGGGAAATAAGAAATTTATGTTTCCTTTTAGTGCTAATGTGTTAAAGAATGGCCTTGTAACTATAAGCAGTTTGTAATTTGGGGTTAAAATGATTTGCTTTTGAGAGCACCATTAGACAAGGAAACGGACTTCTGTTAGCTAAATAACCCATGAACTGTATCTCCCTAAGAAGATACAGTTAGAGCAATAACAGCATAGGAATAACCATAGTCATTTAGAATTTGATGCAGGTCAAATCCCGTTACACATTTCAGTAGGATATTTAAATTTCTTATTTGTGTTAAAGCTTTTGGTACAATATATTAATATGTAATATGTCAGATTACAGAACTATTTTAGCCCTTAACTTTTCCTTGGGGGGGGGAAGCATAAGGACTTTTAAGGGGCATTTTAGTCCCATTCAGTGTCCTAATTGACACTGCAGCCACTTTTCTCACTGCTGGAAACAGGATGTAAATTTGCCTCAGGCCCTCCCTTACTAGGTTGCTCCTTGGGCTTGTTTGCTTTGTGCTTCACAGTACTGGAGCATTTGTTTACCAAGCAAGCATCAGGATTTGCTCGGGGCTCTTCGGGAAGACTAACATCCAACGAAGGAGATGGAGAGGCTCCTGCTCATTGACCATTGAGGCATAAGTCTAAGGTACATTTACTCATGAGAGAGTTTTGGAGTTAAGAGAGTGGTAAAGCTTTATTACAGTGACTCCTTCTCCCTAAGTCTTATTTACAGCATATACCAGCAAGTGTCTAGCATATTTTTGTAGTAATTTGATTTTTATAGCTTTCATTGTAACGGGATTTAACCTGTAACATCTTTTCTCAGAAAAATGCAGATTACGCAGATGAAAGTATCACATATCACCATTTGTACTTTCTGTACTTTGTATCAAATGTACTTAACTATATGTGACAGATATTATTGAATATGTGTCCGTGGAAACATTAGAAGCCTTTTGCAGATAGCTTTATGAATATGGATATTTGTTTATAGAGTATGACAAACATGTACTGTTTATATAAAACATGTATTAAAATGTCTGGAATGTTATTTTGGTGTATGATGGATGAGAGTGGTTGCTTTTAAATCACGAGGTCTTTTGAATGCTGCTAGAGTAGCTGGTGTTGCTTAACATGGCATTTTTTCCCCTGTCCACACTTTCCACCCTTGGTACAGGTATTTTTGATAAGCTGTGGAATGGAAAGGTATGTTTTTCATGGGATATTCAAGAATCTCTTACCTTAAATTCTTTTAAAGAGGTTTCCTTTATGGGATTCCTCTTGGGTCTGATTTAAGCAGACTTAGTTTACTTGTAACAAGTAACATTTTTAGAGGCAATAGTTGAGTATAAAATTTTGACCTGTCCTGTAAGTTTCTGACTTAACTTTTCCACATTCCTTTATTAAAGATAGTATGAGAGGTTTTAAGTACTTGGGGTGGGGGGTTGCTTTGGAAATACATAATCTGTGCCATGAAGAAAGACTGTAGACTAAGAGGTGCTTGTGGTAGTTGGTAATCTAGTATGTTGTTATTACAGTTCTGGTTACCATTAATTTGCAATTTCATTGAGGAAAGTGGTACAAAAGTAACCCTTAATATATTAATATATAAGATAATTCTTAGGGACTTTATTGAAGTCACACAGTTGTCTTTTTGCTGGAGGAATGATTCAGTTTTGGCTATGGCCAACTGAACTAGAAGGGTTAGTCTAAGAAGTGGCAGTTGCCTAGAGCCTGTGCCAGGCTTCCTGCCTGCACATCACTTTCTCCTCTGTCCACATTCTGTGCTAACCAAGGCCATCCACAGGCGTGTTGATGCTCCTGTCCGTGAAGGTTGACTTGAAAGATCCATGTAGTTAAATTGGCGAGAGCCTCAGCCTGTGCTTGTCTTTAGAAGGCCCAATTGGAGGCCTGTACTCTAGTGGCTTTCCTAACAGTGAAATTGTGAAAGGTGCATGGGGACAGCTGTGAGACATGCAGCTATTTGTAAAGAGATGAAGCACTTTCTGAGGCCTTGGTACTAGTGCTGGAGGCTGCTGGTGACTTTAGACTATGCTGGTCACATGGTGGGCTGAGAAGCCCTTATTAAAAATCTGTTGCATTTTGTAAACCCTGATTGTTCTGGTGGTTGCAAAGTTAGTGTCCGCTCATTGTTCTCCATCTCACCAGAAGTGTTTGCTTTTTCTCATTCATAGAGGTCCTGTAATAAGGAGGGATCCGAACAAGCTCAGAAAGAAAATGAATTTCAAGTAAGTAATTCAGCCCATTCTGTACCTGAATGAGATGTAAACTGGTGTGAGCCAACCTCACTGCCCTGAAGTTTAGCAGTTCTTGTCTTAGAAGAAGGGCTTTTGGCATTTTGGGAACCCTCACTGAAGTGGGCCGGCAGTGAGGATTCTCTGTATTCTGACCACTTCATCTCGGACAGCCACTTCTTTCTAGTCCTCACCTGTTGTGCACTCACTTGGCTGTGCCCTAGACTTTATCCCTAGAAATTGTGCCCCTTTGCCGTGCCAGCTTTAACAGTCCACCACTTGCTGACCTCCCAGCCCACTTGGCACACCTGCAGCTGCCTCTCGCTGGCTACCATCAAGTCCTCTGGTCTAAGCACTGCTACCCTCCCACTGTCCATCTGCCCTCTCCACCTGCTGTCTGTCTTGCTCAGCTGAGAACCCAGCTCTACCATCATGGATAGGTCTTTTCTTCTACATGTTCTCAGCTCATTTCTCTGCCCACCTCCTGTTGTGCTCACCTTGTAAAAAACCCTGACCACTGAGCCCAGCCAGCTCTGTGCTTCCTCTGGGCTGCATCTGCAGCTAAACATGACTAGAAAAAAATTACTTAGTTGGGAGGGCAAGTTTCATTTTGTTTGTTTTGTTTTTGTTTTTGTGGTTTTTTTTTTTGGTACCAGGGATCAAACTTGGGTCCCTGAGCTTGCAAAGCTGGCACTGGAACCACTGAGCTAAATCCCTGGCCCGGCAAGTTTGATTTTGGGATGAGCAGGCTCTGGTGGGCACTTGACACTGCCTGGGAACATTCTCCATTGTGTTTATTTCCTGATGGAAGAAGTCTATTTCAGGCTTCTGTTTGCTCTTCAGACTTCCTTGTCCCCAGTCTTAGTGGGAAGTAGAAGTTCATTCTTTTTTTTTTTAAATGTGATCCTGAGCATAGAACCCAGGCAAGCACAACTGCTAGACAGAAGCTCTACCTCCAAGCTACATTCCCAGCCCCAGGACCACCACCTTTGATGGCTGCTTATTTTCCATCCCTTAGCTTCCTGTTGTAAGTCCTCTTTGTCTGCACTGTCCTTTCCATGGACCTTTCCTTTTGAAGGACATTCTGCCCTTGTATGCCACACTTGGCTTTGCTTTCTTCGAGTCTGACTTCTTGTTGTTTTCCTTTCTTCTCTAGGTGACAGAATGCTTTGCATTTATGCCTTCTTTGCTCCCACTGCATCTCTGTTCCCATGCCTGACACATTCTTTTTAAACATTTATCCTTTCCTTTCCTTTCCTTTTTCCTTTTTCCTTTTTCCTTTTTCTTTTCTTCCCCTCCCCCAGGGGATTGAACTCTAGACCTTGAGCTTGTGAGGCAGGCAGCAGAACCACTGAGCTAATTCCCCGGCCCCATGGGGTGGTGGTACTGGGGATCAAACCCAGGGCCCTACTGCACACTGAACAAATGCGCTGCCACCAGCCTTCAGTAAGATTTCCTGAGATAGAATCTACTGTGTCTGCTTTCTTCCTAGTGGTCTTTTTCGGAAAAAATTTTTGAAAGCATAGGAAAGTACAAAGGGAAATGTAACAAACACATTTATTTCTAGTATACAGAATTACTTAGTTGTGTCATATGGCTTGACTTCAGTTTGTTTTTGTTTTTTTTGAGACAGGGTCTCACTATGTAATTGAGACTGACCTGGAACTCATTGTATAGCCCAGGTTGGTCTCGAACTCACAGCGATCCATTCCTGCCTCAGCCTCCTGAGTGCTGGGATTACAGGTGTGCACCACCACGCCCGGCCTTCACGTTTTTTTAAATATGAATTTTTATTTATTTATTTATTTACTTAATTTGATACCTGGGATCGAACTCGGGTCTTTGTGTATATGAATTTATTTTTAACTTTTTATTTCAAACACATTTTAGACTTATGGAACAAGTTGCAAAATAGTACAGAGTTCCTGTGCACCACTTACCCAGTTTCCCTAATGTTCTCATTTTACATAACCTCAGTGTAGTTACCAGAACTAGAACATTGACATTGGTACAGTAATAATAACTAAACCACAGACTTATTAGAATTTCAAAAGACTTTCTTTCCACTGATGTTTTCTTTTATTCTGTCCCTGCCTTTAGCCAGGATCCCAACATGGCATTTTTGGCAGTTTCTCCTTAGTCTTTTTCAATTGGAATGGGTCTTAATTGTGTCTTCTCTTGATACTTGGGAAGTGTGCTGGTCAGTTACAGTTGAGAGCAGCCCTACAGTTTTGTCTGCCATTTCCCCCTGATTGCAATGAGGCTGTTTGTTTTTGGCTAAAATACTACAGTCTTGCTATGTTTTCTCTAGAGGCTCATACTGTGAGAATTCTTATTACTGGACCTTGCTTTTTTGTACCAGGGATGGAACTCGGGACCTTGCACTTGTCAAGCAGATGGCGGAACCACTGAGCTAAATCCCCAGTTCTCTTTAATTTTTAAAAAAATAAATGACACTTTATAGATAAAAGCCCATTTTAAAAAAAAGCATGGTGGCATAGACCTGTAATCCCAGCACTCCAGGAGCCTGAGGCAGGAGAACTGCAAGTTTGAGCCCAGCCTGGGCGACTTAACAATTTAGCAAGACACTGTCTCAAAATTTAAAATGAAATTTTTTAAAGTGCTGGGGATGCTCAGTGTGAAGGGTCTAGGTTCAATCTCCAGTATTGCCCCCCGCCCAAAAAGTCATTTTGTTTACACTTTATTTCCCATCTGACACCTGTCCCCATCACTTCTCTGAAAGTATTCTTGTTTAGTCACCAACAGTTTCCATATTGTCAGATCCATGTCCTCTTTCTTTTCCTCCTTTTGAACCCTGGGCAATGTCTGACCCAGATTGCCTTAAGATGGCAGGTATCTTACCTCCCTTTGCCCAAAGGGGTCCCCTTTTTCCTTTTCCCTTTCCTTTTCCTTTTTCCTTTCCTTTCCCCTCCCCCTCCTTCCCTTCCCCCTCCTTCCTTTCCCTCCCCTCCCCCTTCCCTTTTCCCTCCTTTTCTCCCTTCCCTTTTTTCAATAGAATCTTACTGTGTGTCTTATTGCCTCAGCCTCCTAGATAACTGAGACTACGAGGTGCCCACCACTACACTTGACTTGTTCATATTTTAAATGAAATACAGTAGAATAATACTAGGAGCCAAAGATCAAAGGCAGGAGGATTGAGGATTGCAAGTTCAAGTCCAGCTAGGATGACTTAGCAAGATCTTGTCTCAAATAAAAAAGGACTGATGATGTAGCTCAGTGGGAAGGCCCTGGGTTAAATCCCCTGCACTACACACAAACAAACATATTAGGAAGCTTGCCTGGTCATGAGGATAAATATTACTTAGTGTGTAATATCTGGTGTGTGTGTGGATGGGTTGCTGTATAAATGCCTTTCTGATGAGGATGACAACTGGTGGGTCTGAAAGCTGTTGCTCTGGATGTTGGGCATTCTTAGGCCTGGTGCTGGTTCCATCATCTGTTACTGGGAGAGCTTGCCATATGCAGGGTTTTAAACTTTCTCAACATTTTGAGAACTTTGGAGTTTCTTTACCCAGACCTTTCTTTACACCCCAGCTTGTACTGCAGGCTGCCCCTGCTGTCTCCTTTCCCTTTGTTCCCCTATTCCAGGTGCACTTCTCCTTCCTACTCCTTGAATGCACCAAACTTACTGCTCATCAGGTTGCTCACAGCTCCTGTTCACCCGTGGGTCTCAGATCATAGCCATCCCATCATACCCTGTCATTCCACTCTTCTGTCCCTCCATGGCAGTGAAGGACTGTCTGTAGTTGGATTCATTGACTTATTGTCTGTTTCAAGATAAGCAGAGTCTTATGTTTTGTTCCCTGATGCTTGGCAGAGTGCTGGGTACATAGTAGAAGTCAAAGTGAATTGTTAAAGTATTAATCTCTTCTGTAGAAGTAGAACCAGCTATAGTTGCATGGCCTTGGGCTGACACAGGCATGGTGCGAAGGTGTGGACTGAGCCATCTGCCTAGCCCTCCCTCGACCTTGTTAACCTGCTTTCAGGAGCTTTGGAGACTCTGATCACAAAGAAACTATCTATCAGGAGTTGATCATCCTTCCCAACCTGTCTTGCTTGTGTCTTTGATATTCTTATTCATTTTCTAACTGTCCAAATCCTACCTTTTACATGCCACCTCCTTGTCTTTCTAAATACTGAACTGCAGTGTTGGATAAGAACAAAGTTTTGTTTACAGTGTTCAAAACAGCGAGAAGAGAATCAGAAGTTAAGTCTCTGTGTACCTTCTTGGCACTGTTTCTAGGTGTGGACTGACTGCTCTGGAGTGGAGTCTGCACAATTTATTGATCCAGGTTCCCAAGGGACAGTGCTGCCACGTGTAAATAAGTCTATTCCAGGGATCTTCTTTTCTGAGTGGACGTGATATGCAACAGCTACCCCCTGAAGTAATAAAGCAGGGCTTAACCCTGTATATAAAACTTGAAATTTCAAACGTTAAAGGATATTTTATTTCAGATATATGTGCCCCCCCCCTTAATGCTCTTCATCTTTAGTTATTCTGTTGTGTAGAAAATCGGAAAATTAGGTCGGGAATTTTCAGTGGTTCTGCTGCCTTCTGCGCATGGTCCCAAGGTCAATCCCCAGTACCAAAACAAACAAACAAAGAAAATCAGAAAATATGCTTAAATTCTTACAAAATTCAGGATGCCTAGATGAAATAAATGCTAAATCTACCCTTTTGAAATGATGGGAGAATAAGTTACAGTTTCATGAGAGATTCTACAAATGGCAAGGGCTGTGAAGAGACACAATAATAGGTTTCCTGGTCTAGGACACGAGGGGACCATACTCTTGCCCGGAAATGTTCAGGCTCTGTTAGTTTTGCAGCCTATCCAGTTCAGGAGGTGCTGTAGTCTTCAGAGTGCTAGGGTGTGCTGCTCTCCAAAGCAGGGCGAGTATGTGAAAGAGGACACCTCACAAACCCTCTGGTGAGCTTCCCTACACAGTTTCCCATGTTGGGCTTGAAGGCAGCTAGGGCCAACCTGGGCAAGTGTGCTGTGAGGCTTGGGTGAGTGGTGGGAAACATTTCATCAATTATGTGGAGATAACTAGATATTGTCATTAAGTGTTTATAAAAATAAAAAAATCAAATACTGCTCTGAAATTCATTAAATTGATCAGTGCTATATGTATGCTGTCAAAAACACATAATACAAATTTGTAAATAAAGACTGAGCCTCAGAAAATAATGGTCAGACCATAATTGTGGGGATTATACAAGATGATGATTAGGCTATAATGGGGGGGTTACCGACAAATACATTTGCCCCTACAAAATGTAAAAGAAACTGAATTGCTTTTTACTCTAACGTGGTCTGATATCCCTTGGAAGTAGCTTCTGTTTGTTCTTACTAAGTCTAACATTTTGTCATTGCCTAATGAGGTCTCCTCATAGTTTCTCAGTTTTTTGGATAATGTGAGTGCTTTAAAAAGTGTTGTTCTGGGATCACATCCCCTACAGAACATTCCTTAACAAAGATTACGCTAGGGTCATCTGGAATGTTTTTCAGAACATACCTGTAGGCGCCTTCCCTTAAATCCATCAACTTAGAAACTCAGGGTTGGGACCCAGGAATGTCTTGTGTGAAAGATCCTCAAGACATTCAGGGTACCTGGTTGACTAAGAAAGGAATTTAAATTGAGGCAAAAGGATGGATTTTGAAGCAAAATTATTTTAGATCTCACAGTTATTAGGACTAAAGATACAACATAGGAGCTACATAGAGATTTTAGCAGGAATACTAACATTGGAGGTGGAGAAAGGTTGGAAGTAAAAGCTGAAATTGGAAACCTTGAGTGCTCATGCCAGAGTACTTTGGAACAAAAAGCCCCAGACCTAAATCAGTAGTGGTCAAACTTACTGGACCCACAGACCAATTTAGTAGACAGAGGCCTTTGGATCATTCACTTTCACTAGTTGCTCTCAATCAAAAGGCAGATCAGCCACACCAGAATGGCTGGGATTGTGGTCTTTGTTGGGTGACCAAAGGTGAAACTCCTCATACCCATTATAAAAGAAGTGCAAGCACTAATAGATAGTTTTTCTATTTTTGGAACCAGTTGACCTAAAATAAACTTAAATTTTAAATCTCATCCATGTAGTGTAATGCTTGCAAGCATGGATCCTGTAGGTTATAAGTGTGTAGCTTTTGAGTCTTTTATTTCATTTTTGCATTGGGGTGATGGTGATACCCACAGCAGAGTACCAGTAAGGACTGGAAGAAACTGCCTGTGGGAAAGTGTTCCTGATGCTTCAGTAAATACCTTGTTTGTTGCCTTCTGTTTTAGGGAGCTGAGGCCATGGTTCTGGAAAGTGTTATGTTTGCCATTCTTGCAGAAAGGTCTCTTGGGCCAAAACTGTATGGCATCTTTCCTCAAGGACGACTGGAGCAGTTCATCCCGGTAAGATGTGTGTGTGTGAACTGTCAGTTGACACGAGCCACATGTAGAAGGTGGGTTCCATGTCTCAGAAACCCGAAATACTGTGGTATGAAATAATACCAGAACCTCTTTCTCTCCTATAAAGACACAGTTATCCAAATTAAAAATATATGTAAGACTCACTGTTACATTGTCCCCTCACTATTACATTGTCCCCTAATCCTTCCCCTTTTCATTTTATTGTCCCCCCCAACCCCTGGGGCTTTCTGTATAGAACCTGATGCTGGAGGGCTGGCAGAGACCTGCCTCAGAAGTAGAGCACTTGCCTGGCATGCATACAGCTGTAGGTTCAATCCCCAGCACCTGTGCAACACAGAAACAACCCCCTGCACAAATGAAATAGTGACACAAATTAAAATTTTTTAAATGGACAAGGGGTATAACCCAGTGGTAGAACCCTTGCCTGGTACACGTAAAGCCCTGGGTTTAGTTACCAACACTGACAAGACAAAAAACAAACAAACAAAAAACCCCAAATAAATGTCACTGCTGTAGTATCTGAGCTCCAGCCACACCCACTGCATCTCTAGCTACAGAAATCCATCTTCTGGATCTATCATCTTCCCTTCGTTTCCATTTTCCTACATTTTTAGGGTCTCTCCTGCTCCTGTCCCCCAGAGATCTCTTTCAAATCCTGTTTCCAGACAATAAGGAATTTTTCCCCCTTTCCTTGTTGGCCTGAGGCATTTTTAAAAAATATTGCAGTAACGCTTGCCAGGGGCTTTTGTCTTCAGGTACATGTGCAAATCTGAAACACAGACCTTGTCTCAGTCATCAAAAGACAAAATACTATATGGATAGCATCATACCATTTTTTATGAAGCCCAATAAAAGCAAAGATTTTGTGTTTCGTGGTGCTGGAGATGAACCCTCTACATGCCAGGCAAATATTCTCCCACTGAGCTTACACCTTCAACCCCTAAAAAGCAAGTTTAAAAATTACCTTAATACACATACATATAGTCAAGGTGTGTTGACAATCCCAGCAATAAGTAGGCTGAGGCAGGAAGATTGTGAGTTTGAGGCCAGTTTAGGCTACAGAGCAAGCAGGATCCTGTCTCAAAAAAAAAGAAAAAACATGCATGTGTGCTGAAAGTTCTGTGTAATCAATTCTGTTCTAGTTCTTAAATTCTATGCCCTTTTGATAGATTGCTTACTGCACAGTGAAGAATTTTTAAATTCTATTAAAATACTAAGTTGAGCCATATGAACAGCTAACCTTCAACTGTCTTTGACACTCAGACAATTTTACATGGTTCCACCTAATACCACACGATATTTCTTGGTTTCCTCTTGACCAGTTGCTGTCTTTGCAAGGGTATGGGAGAGCAAGTGACCTTTAAGAATGGTACACAGTCTCCATTTCCCTTTCTCTGTGCTGATAAAGGAGCTTGACATCCTCAGATTTGTTCATCTTTCACATGTTAGCTTTAAAGTTTCCACATTGCCCCACAAATTAGTCATGTGCTGCATAACATTTCTGTGAACATTGGGAACTATATATGTGACAGTGATCCTACAGAGTTATAATGGAGTTAAAAAGTACCTGCTATCCAGTGGCATTGTAGCCATTGTAACATCAGTACTGGGCAGTACTCACCCATTTGTGGTGGTGCTGGCATAAATCCACTGTGCCGCCAATTGTAGAAGTATGGCATATACAGCTGTGTGTAATTTGTAATACTTGATAATATCCGCTGAGAGAAGCAGCACATGTGGGAGCTGGAAGGACCTCATGGACCACAGGCTCCTGAGAATGCACTGTGAGAGGGTCAGAACAAGTGTGGCCTGGGGCTGCTTTGGGGCTGTGGTTGTCTTGTCCAGTGTGGCCCTGTGCCATGCTAGGGAACACTGTGAAGACTCTGTTGAACATCACGCCTTCCCTGCTGAGTGGCAGAGCAGAGGGAGGAGCTAGGGGTTGGGCTTTGTTGCAGACAGGGTTGCTGGCTTGGATCCAGTGAACAGACTAACTTTATAGAGGGCAAAATCATAGCTCATGGGAGAAGACTTTAGTTCATTAAAATTTAAAGACAACTTTCTCATGATTGAAAAGGATTTTGAATGCAGAAGACCCTGGGAGGAGGGCCTGCTTTTCACTCTAGATGTTCCAGGCAGTTGCTAAGTCACTGTGGAAACACTGTCAATTTTCTTTTGTTTTGGTGTTTTTTTTTTTTTTTTTTTTTTTGGTACCGGGAATCAAACTTGGGTCCTTGTGCTTGCCAGGCAGGTGGTGGAACCACTGAGCTAAATTCCTGGCCCAACACTGTCAATTTTTAAGGGACTTTGTGCATTGGTAAGACTTAAGTGTCCTGCAGAAACTGGCTCCTCATTCTTAGGATGGTGTGATCTCACACTTGCTAGGTTACCTGGTTAAATGTCCATTTAAAATTTTTTTTTAAATTTCAGAGCAGACGATTAGACACTGAAGAATTAAGTTTACCAGATATTTCTGCAGAAATAGCTGAGAAAATGGCCACATTTCATGGTATGAAAATGCCATTCAATAAGGAACCCAAATGGCTTTTTGGAACAATGGAAAAGTAAGTGGTCAGTGTGAGCTGCCTTCAGGGTGGGGAGGCCCTCCCTTGGTTCACTGGTGGTTCTGGTGTTTATCTCCTGAATAAGTCTTTCTTTTGTAAATGCATGAAGCAGTCAGTTTTTGGACAGAGAAGAAAGCTTTGTTTGCAGAAATGGGGGAGGGGGACTTCTTAAGAGTGCTGTGTTTCCCAGTTGCTTCCCTTCCCTCCTGGAGACAGGAGCAACCCTGTCCTGTGACTGTGCAGGTAGGTGTCAGGTAACTGAGGCCTCAGAATGCACTTTGATGAACTGAGCAGTGGTCCTTTGCCCTCCCTTGTTTAAATAGATATCTAAATCAAGTGCTGAAAATTAAGTTTACTGAAGAATCCAGAGTTAAACAGCTCCAGAAGTTCCTCAGTTACAACCTTCCTTTGGAACTAGAAAATCTGAGGTGAGTGTTTGCTTCCGTTTCCTGACTGAGTGGGTCCATCTGTCCAGCGGTGTAAATATCCTTAGTCACTAAAATCATCAGTAAACACTGAGTAAGCTTACCCGAACCCTGGTACCTCACACTGGTTTTGCAGGGTGGTTGGACAGGTAAGCTTTGTCATCTTGTATGTTCCATGTATGCTGTCACTTCACCTCTCAATTTAGGAACATTGCCGGGGGGGGGGCAGGCCCTCAGGAGTGGTCTGGTGCATAGAGCAGGACAGTTTATGGGGCATTAGCACAGGCTGGGGACTGAAAATGGATGAGAGACATGATTAAACCTAACCTTTGGGTGGCAACCTCTAAATGGAGTCTGATCTCTGAATGGAGGCCACTGTGGTGCACTCAGGACAGGCTATTTGCATACATATTGACCAGCACTTACACCTTCATTTACTTGGTTATTTTAGTGTCTGCTGTGCTGGACAGTGTGTTGATGTGAACAAGTCATTTTATTAAGACAGAAAACAGATAATATCAGATTGATACGTGCTGTGAAGGGGACATAGACCAAAGCAGACCAACAAAGACAGATCTGCTTCGGATCTGTGGTTAGAGAAGGGCTCCACATGAGGGACCAGAATGGGTGCTCCAGAGAACAGTATGTACAAAGGTCCTGCTGCAGGAAAGAACTTCAAGTACGGAGAGGCTTGTGTGAGTTTCTGCTATGTACTACAGCAGAGCTATTATCACATAATGACATGGTTTTCAGAAATCACATGAAAACTACTACACTAGACTGTGTTGCTTGAAGCCCTAATATAGTGCTGGCCATGCTGAGAGCAGGACAGTTGTATCTGACTTTAAAGTGTGGTAGCTACAAGTAAAACCTTCCTTCCTTTTTCAGATTATTACTTGAATCTACTCTGTCTCCAGTTGTATTTTGTCATAATGACTGTCAAGAAGGTAAGAATTGCCACATACTAAAGATGGGATTTAAGTGTATTTCCAAATGTGTGTGATAAATGCCAGATGACTGTCCAGAGTGTTGGATACATTAGGTTGTGGTGCACCCAGCCAGCTCTTGTGTAACTTCTAAAGAGTGAGATAAACTGGGTTCTCTGGGTTGTGCTTACAATCCTAGCTACTTGGGTGCTGATGCAGGAGGGTCACAAATTCAAGCCCTCCTTGGACAGTTTTGCAGGATGCCATCTCAAAAAAAATGAGGGCTAAGGGTGTACCTCAGTTGTAGAATACTTGTCTTACAGCTGCACAAGGCCTTACATTCAATCTAGTATCACAAATGAATTTTTAAAAAAAGAGTGAGACTTCTACACATATTGATAGAAAAATCTCCAGGGTAGGTTAACAGAAAGAAGCAAATTTTAGAAAAACACAGAGTATCATTCTATTCTACTAAAATAAAATAACTTACAAAGGGAAAAATCTCAGGTAATATTCACTAATCTAGGGAGTTGGGACAAAGACTCAAACTTTCTAAGTCTTATATTACTTATTGTATTTGACTCCCTTCTTCAAGCAGGAGCAGTTAACCAAGATCATGCTGGGGATTTAGTTCAGTGGTTCTGCTATTTGCCTTGCAAGTGCAAGGTACTGAGTTCGATCCCCAGTACTCCCCCCCAAAAAAAGGACCAAGATCAGCTCCCTTGTCACATGGGCCCTTCCTTTCTATACTGAGCAGCTCAGGGCAGCTTAACCCTCTTTCTCTATTGGTTTTTTGTTTGTTTGTTTGTTGTTTTTTGTTTTGTTTTGGTTTTTTGAGACAGGGTCTCACTGTGTAGTTGAGACTGAGCTGCAACTCACTATGTAGCCCAGGCTGGTCTCGAACTCACAGCGATCCTCCTGCCTCAGCCTCCCGAGTGCTGGGATTACAGGCATGCGCCACCATGCCCATCATCCTCTTTCTCTATTAATATCAGTGTGTCTGCCATTAATGATTTGGGGTTGCTATGCTTGAGAAAATTACAGTGCCATATGTGCCTTACTATCACAAAATGTTACCCAGTGTGATTTCCAATTTGATAGTTTAATCAGAGTCTTCCTAATGGTGCGGGTCTTACTGAAGCCACCGACATTGCCTAGTGATGACAGCTATGACAGCTGTGGTCCCACCTCAGGCTCTTCTTGGCTGGGCTCAATGTGTGTGTGTGTGTGTGTGTGTGTTCCATTTAAAAAAAATTTTATAAGTACATGTTTGCCATACCTTATGATCATATTCATCATAGGGAATTTATAATATATCTCCATTCTTTTTCCCCATTCCCCTCCTCCCTTCAACCCTTCATCCCCTCACCATTTACAAAAGCTTTGTTTTCTTCCATTCTCTTTTTCTTCATCCCTTTCCCTTCCTTGCAGTCCCTCCCTTGTTCCCCTTCCCATTTGAATGTGTTCTTTGTACTTCCTAATATCTATTCTCCTTGTTCCGTTTTTGAGATAGTGACTGCTCTTGAGCTTAAGTGTTCCTCCTACCTCAGCCTTCCAAGTACATGGGATTATAGACATGTACCACTGTGCCTAGCTCTTGACTTCAGTTATATATATTTATTCTGTTTATATAATGTTTATATATATATGTATATATTATATATATATATATATATTTTTAGTCAGGGTCTCACTGAGTAATTGAGACTGACCTGGAACTCACTATGTAGCCCAGGCTGGTCTCCAACTCACAGCGATCCTTCTGTCTCAGCCTCCTGCGTGCTGGGATTACAGGCGTGTGCCACCCCACTCTGCTTCTGTTACATTTTTATTGCAATGTCTTGCCTTGCCTGGCTCCCAAACCCTTGAGCCCAAGTGATTTTCCTACTTGACCAATTTGCTTTTAGTTCCAGAATAGTCCATCATGAAGACTTGTCGTCAATAAGCCCTTATGGGGGCCAGGGATTTAGCAGAGTGGTCCCACCTCCTGCTTCAAAAGCACAAGGACCAGAGTTTGATCCCTGGTACCGACCCCCCCAAAATACAAAAAGCTCTTATGGGGCTGGTGTTTTAGCTCAGTGGTGCTGCTGCCTGCCTCGTAAGCACAAGGTCCTGAGTTCAATCCCCAATTAAAAAAAAAAAAGAAAGAAGAAATAGTAAGTTATAAATCTTTGGGTTGGGGATTTAGCTCAATGGTGCTGCTGCCTGTCTCGCAAGCTCAAGGTTCTGAGTTTGATCCCCAGTACCAAAAAAAAAAAAGCCCTTAGTTTGAGCCCAACTGCCTTACACTAATTAGCTGACTCTTGCTGGCTAACTCAAATGGAGCAGGATCAGAAATTGCTTTGGGTGTTAGCCATACCCTTACAGTAGTGATGGGATGGGAAACATCATAGACATCAGCAGAGACAGATGAGAAAGAAGTCAGCTGCCTTAGTGATGGGGAAATGTGGAAGGGACAGAGATGAGAGTTACACATTCATTTTGTTCTGCTGCTTTGAGTATTTGTCTCTGTTTTTTTTCATGTTGGAAACATGGAAACACCTAGAAACTTAATGTCTCATCAGAAACCCAGGGAAGGAGAGAGCCAAACAGGAAAGGCTCCCTCCCTGGTGCCCACCTGCCCACCCTATGGTGCTGAAATGCTGAGCATCATAGTGTGGGGATCTTAGCAGTGCCAGGCTGGTGACCAACCCATCTCATGCCCGGAATTCAGCAATATGATGAAACATCACCACAGTGATGATAGTGCTGTGGCCTCCTTGGGAGGGAACACCAGATCAGGCAGAGCAGTGGAGCACTGTTGTAGCTGAGCTTGGCCCTGACATCCCCAGGGAGACACCATGGCAGCTGTTTTCCTGGTATACCCAGCTATCCCTGCTAGCAGCTGAACGCCAAGGCTGCTGAAGGGAGCGGGCCAGTGAGCTCCACTCTGCCCTGTGGGAAACATTCAGGAAGCACTCTTTAGACAGTGAATGAGAGGTCGGGGATTGTTCCACAGTGAATGGGGGCTCCCAAGAGAACCAGGGCCGTGGGCAGATGAGTCCGAAATCTCCCTGCCAGGGGCCAGCCCCTCCCTGTTCTGTGCCCGTGGTATCTGTGGAACTGAATGCCAAAGTCAGACAAGGGCCTCAGCAGAGCCAGAGCCACTCTTAGCTTTGCCCTCTGAGGACTTGAGTCTTCTGTTATAAAAGTCTTGTCACTCAAAATTTTTTTCAGGTAATGTCTTATTGTTGGAAGGCCACGAGAATTCTGAAAAACAGAAACTGATGCTGATTGACTTTGAGTACAGCAGTTATAATTACAGGTAATATGTTACAGTCAAAGGCTTACTTTTCAGTACTGTTTCATTCTGATATATTTATGAAACAATTACAGGGAAAAAAAATTGAAAGCAGTATGCTGAGTTGAAAGCATCCTCCCCTGGAAGAGAAGGCATCTGTCCAGGGAATCCACAGCCTCCTTTATTCCTAGCTGGCTGGGTAGTCAGGAGCCCCAGTGTCATTCACATCCAGTTTTGGTGCTTTATTTGGGCTGCCAGGCTCCTTTTCTTTCCATAAGTACTGATTACAGGAGATACATTGCGTTTGAGCATCAGTTTAGATGGCCTCTTTATAGCTTCATTCAGCTGTGATTTCGATGATCTCCTAATTGTGTCTCCCTGTCACCAAAGCTCCTATACCTCTGTGTGCTCAGGAAGTCCAGTGGTTCTGGCCTGACTTTTCTTCTTGGTCGGGGAGTAAGCAGGCCCACGGTGTGGCTCATGCTTTGTACTGTCTTTTCTCTTTCAGAGGATTCGACATTGGGAATCACTTCTGTGAATGGATGTATGATTATACCTATGAAAAGTACCCTTTCTTCAGAGCAAATAGTCAGAAGTATCCTACCAGGAAACAGCAGGTAGGACATGAGTTTTTAATAGACTTGACAAGTTACTTCTATACACAGATCAATTTTAGCACCAGGCAGAATTGTATGAGATTTTTGTTGTTTTTGCAGTATTGGAGATTGAACCCAGGGCTTTTTGCATGCTAGCCAACCACTTTACCTCTGAGCCATGCCCTCAGCTCTTCCTTTTATTTTATTTCGAGACAGGGTGTCACTAAGTTGCTCAGGCTGGCCTTAAACTTGGTAATCTCCTATCTCAGCCAGCATTCCTAGCTACTTTTTCATTTTTTTTTTAAATTTAATTTATTGGTACATTCTAGGTAGATAGTACAGTTACATTCTTTACTGGGATCTTGTACCTTTTCATGCCAGGTCTTGGTTACTTTTTCATTTTCAAAGGTACTCTTTTTTTTTTTTTTTGTACCGGGGATCAAACTCAATTTTTTTTTTTTTGGTACCGGGGATCAAACTCAGGTCCTTGCGCTTGCGAGGCAGGTGGCAGAACCGCTGAGATAAATCCCCGGCTCAAAGGTACTCTTTTTAAATTGTACCATGATTAGGTAGCCCCTTTGCTAAGTTAAAAAAATTTTTTTTTTTCCTGTTAAATGTGGATTCACACTTGACTCTTGAGTTTAGTTCTTTTTTAATTCCTATGCCAGAGACATTGCCTCCTTTGTAGTTTTTCTAGCTTTCCCCAAAATCCCAGCCCCTGCTCTGCTTTCCAGGCTTATTTTGGGTCATTGACTTTCCTCTATTCATTTCACACTGTGCAGAGAGAAGCAGATCTGGGCACCATGATTTAGTAGCTGGAGGAGATGCCTTTGGTGGGGACAGTTCCCTTTCCTGTCCTCCATTACTGCAGACTGCTGATTGGGACACTCATTCTCCTGGGAATTCTCTTACCACTGTTGAGGCTTTGGGTGGAAGTACAGTGGGTAGGTCTGAGAGTATAAGGAGCAGCAGCTTGCTTCCCTAGAGATCCCCTGCTGCAGTTAGGGGTGAGGACAGCAATTGTAGAAGTTCTCTCAGCCTGGGGCCTACACAGGGCTTGGAGCCCCGTGCCTGGATGAAGAGTCTTCAGGGTGGCTGTTTGCACGTGGGCTTGCTGAGGACTACAATTTGTACCTCCTCTTCTGGGCACATTTTAAAGCTGATTAAGATGAACGTGTTGAAAAGAAGCAGCCAGAATTCCATGAGATGGGTGGGAAAAGATGGGACTGCTCAGCCAGGGGAAGAGAGCACGGTCTCAGGCTTTGGGTGTTTAGATTGTTGCAAGTGGGAGAGAAATTAGACTTACAAAGCAGGAGCTCTGAAATAGAGGTCAGAACTGTTAGACTTGGAAGGGGAGAGTGCTGGTCTAAGCACATTCCATTTCAATGAAAGCTAGAGCTTTATAACCTCTGGTACAACAACATGTAAGTTTTTGGAAGTTCCCTTCTCGTTATAGTTTCTGAAAAGTTCTGAAGATGAGTGCAGGGCTTTATCAGATAACCTTACTGCGTCTGTTGACATAATCTCATTTTTAGTCTGCTATGAAATATTTTAAAATGTTTAACTATTACGGATTTCTGAGATAAGCTGTGTTTGAATGAATTATATTATTTTTAATGCTCTTGTAGAACTGTAGGTTACTCTTTGCCTTCCACATCAAAGTGTAGCTTTGCCATTTTACCAACATAAATGTGTAAATAATTGTAAAATCTCAGGGTGGGAAGGCACTTTGCCTTTTGTAGTGCAGCATCCACTGAGGAAATGCCTGCAGTGAACACCAGGCCGCTCCAGAGAGCTGCAGCTGCATGTTTGTGGCAGCCCTGTGTGGAATGGTGGCCAGTGTGGCAAAAAGTGTGATATCAGCCTGACCTGCTTTGAGGTCAGACAGTGAAAAACGTGTGGATTTGATTAGGGAGAAATGATCCTACCCAAGTCACAGCCTCCAGAAGTACTGGTAGTAGCAACCATGCCACGCCAAGTCCAGTAGGTCTTCTGTTGTGAACCAAGCCAGCAGGAACACAGTGGTGATTACTGCGGGGAGCACGTAACAGCAGGATGTGCCACAGGTTTTCCCTGAGACTGAGGAGTCTAATCACACAGGGGTTTGTGCTTTGTGGCAGCTATTGATAGTGTGTGCTTTAAACCATCATTGATCCTAACACAGTTACTTCTTTTTTAAGCTCCATTTTATTTCCAGTTACTTGGCTACATTCCAAAATGACTTTGAAAACCTCACTAGTGAAGAAAAATCCACTACAGAGGAAGAAATGTTGCTTGAAGTCAATAGGTAACTTTTTTCCTTTTTCAATTTACAAAGGTAGCATACTGTTTTCTGATCTATTTTGACTTTTTCCTCAATAGCTCTCAAAACAGCCCTAACATATCAGATTCTGCAAAGTTCTAAGTCACAGTGTATTCGTGTTTCTCTTCAGTGGGTTGTTCTATTGTTGGGGTCGTTTGTGACACAGTTTGGGTACCTTTGGGCTGCCTTTTCTGCCCCCCCATCACAGGTCGTATCTTCAAGGTCCTTCGAGTGTTCACCCATCTTGCTGAGCCTGCTGCCCCCAGCCTGCCCTCAAGCTCCAGTGGCACATAGTCTCCCCTCTTCTTTCTTGAATGGGTGGAAATAGAAAAACAGTGGAAGAGAACCCACAGAAGGGGGTGCACTAAGGGACTAGTAGACCACAAGGGACCACCAGGACCTGGGGGAGGGCTGGCAAGGCTGCTAAAGCAGAGCTTTGTCCCAGGACGCTGTTGGAATAGGAATTCAGACTCCCAGTGGCAGGCTGGAGATGATGGCACACATGCTTCTTTTGTGTGAGGCAAGGATGGAATTTGAAAAGCCTGCCACTCAGGGAATGGCCTCTCTCCAAACTCCTGCAAAAGGCAGCCGTTTTCAGGAGCTGTTACTTGGTTGCTGAGGCTACGCAGTCACATTTGCAGGAAAGATTCTTTCTCTCCCAGCATGGCCACTGTGGACTCCACCCATGTCCTGAGATGTCATTGTGTGTGGCTTGCCATGGTGCTCACACCTGTAAGTCCACTTACCCCTGGCCAGAGGTGGGAAGAGAGTGCTCCGGACGTGGCCCGCCTGAAGTCACTGCATGCCTGTGGCTGACACTGTATACAGCTCACATGTATTTCTCATTTTGTAATTACAGGTTTGCCCTTGCTTCCCATTTCTTCTGGGGACTTTGGTCCATTATACAGGCCAAGATTTCGTCCATTGAATTCGGGTACATGGTATGTTTTGAGAACAGTTCTCTTCTACTTTCAAGAAAGAATACTGTGATATATGACAATGCTTGGCAGCAACTGACCATTCCTTATAGACCTGTTCCCCCAGGTCACGGAATGTGGAAATCTGGTCACACTTGGACAGTATAGGCCTTTGAGCCCCTCTCACTGATCCTGTGGTTGTTTGTGGAAGTCCCCTCATTTTCAGTACCTCAGAGAAATGCTAGGTAGGTCTGCAGTCTGGGTGAGGCATGGAGAGATCTGGATCTAGAAGGTCCAGTCTCTGAGCTCAGCCCTTTCCGACATAGGGTGGTGCTTCCCTGTGGTACAAAGCCTACTTTACCACTGTTGACACTCTCTAGCCTGTAGCGCCCACCATGGAGTTGGGAGCTGCTATTTATTGGCTCCTGTTTTTTATAAGCACACTTGTAACCAAACTAGGTTGTTGTTTTATCCCTATGTTAAAAACTGTCCTTGACATGAAGACTATTTTTAACTTTTGGATAAACTCTTTTGTTGGGGCATGGGGATCTGAAGGATAGGGGCAAAGGTCTGTTGTCCAGCCGGGTGTGGTGGCACATGCCTGTAGTCCCAGCTACTCAGGAAGCTGAGGTGGGAGGATCACTTGAGTCGGGAGTTCTGGGCTGCCGTGTGCTCTGCCAGTCGGATGTCCATACCAAGTTTAGCATCAATATGGTGACCTCCCAGGAGCAGGGGACCAACCAGGTTGCCTAAGGAAGGGTGAACTGACCCAGGCAGGAAACAGAGCAGGTCGGGGCCAGGGATTTAGCTCAGCGGTTCGGTGGCCTGCCTTGCAAGCGCAAGGACCCAAGTTCAATCCCTGGTACAAAAAAAAAACAAAACCAAAAACCAAAAACAGAGCAGGTCAAAGGTCTGTCATCTAGTGAGTTCCTTTTCTTTAAAACAGTGAGAAGGGCTGGGGATGTAGCTCAGTGGCACTGTACCTGCCTCACAAGTGCAGGGTCCTGAGTTCAATCCCAGATAACCCCCTCAAAAAAACATCGTGAGAAATTACTACATCTTATCCACCTCAGTTCTATAGTAAAATGATTTCTAGTTCTAGGCAGGTTTGCTAATGCAAAGACACTATTAAGCAAAGAAGAGGAAATTTGCATGGTACTGGGTATTGGACCCAGGGCCTTTGTACTTAGGTATATTACTAGCCCCCTCTGTCTGTCTATCTGTCTATATTTTGAGAAAGAGTCTTGCTAAGTTATAAAATTGCCCAGACTGTGCTTGAACCTGAGGTTTTCCAGCCTTTGCCTCCTAGAGTGCTAGGACACAGGCATGTGCCACCATGCCCAGCTTAGAAATTTAGATTTTTAAAGCAGAAGTCATAGTCAAATAATAATGTAAGACAAAACAGACTTCAGAATAAGGAATATTACCAGAGGTAAGCATATTTTATAATAATAAAAACCTTACCCAGGCGTGGTGGCGCACACCTATAATCCCAGCACTCAGGAGGCTGAGGCAGAAGGATCGCTGTGAGTTCAAGACCAACCTGTGCTACATAGTGAGTTTCAGGGCAGTCTCAACTACATAGTGAGATCCTGTCTCAAAAAACAAACAAAACCAAATAATAAAAACATTGATTCATCGAGGACATAAAATCCTAAGTGTGTATGTAGCTATTTTACTATAAAGGGCACAGAACAAAATCCACTGATACTGAAAGAAGAGATGGGCAAATGCACAATTAAATTAGGGGGCTCTCACCGCTCCTCTAAGGAACAGAGCAAAGAAACTCCAACCAATGACAGTGAGGGACAACTGGAACAATACTTACTCAGTCAACCAGACTTGAACATGTATCAAATTCCCAACAACTGCAAATACAGCGCAGCAGAATGGGTGGAGTTTTAGCTAAAGCAGTGTTCAGAAACTTGGTTTCATAAAAACGGATGTTTATATTAGATTTACTCCCTGTACCATCAAAAAAAGAGTAAAATTGTCAGACTCTCTCATGACTTAAGTTTCTACTTTAAGGATCTAGAAAAAGAACAAATTAAGTCCAGAGTAAATAGAATGATCAAAAAAAGGGTAAGAGCAGAAATTGCAATAGAAAATGGACCAAAATCTAGAGAAAATTGATGAAACTAAAAGTTGGTCCTTTGAAAATATGAGTAAAATTTATAGATTTTAGCTATATTGAACAAATGAAAAGAGAAGACACACATTAGCAATGTTGAGTGTCAAAGAGAAGACCTCACTGTAGGTCCTATGGACATTGAAGGATAGAGCATTAGGAACAGCTTCATTTGGCAACACACAACAAAGTACATATTCCTTGGGAAGATGGAGATGACTAAAACTGACATAGAAATAGCATATATTAGTTAAATAAACTGAATTCATAATTTAAAAATCCTTCTTACAGAATAGACTCAGGTTCAGATAGTTTCTTTGGTGAATATCATCAAAACATAAGGAAGAAACACTAATCCTGTACAGAGTAAGGAGTAAAGGAGGGTGACTTAGTTTGGTTAGATGAGTATTATCTTGATAGCAAGTGTAGACAAGGACATTTCAAGAAAATGACAGATCAGCATCCTTTGTGATCATATAAAAATATATGTACAAAATATAAATATAGAACATATAAATATAAATAAAATATATTATACAAAAGGATAAGACATCATGACTAAGTGGCATTTATCTCTGGAAGGCATTGTTACTTGAAAAATCTGTGATTCTTCATATAAACAAAGTGAAGATGAAGAATCACATGATCATCTCATAGAATTCAGGAATAAGCATGTCACAAATTTCATCACCTAATCACAATAAAACAGCAAACTAAGAAAGAAGGGGAATTTAACCAGATAAAGGGTATAGATAAGGAACTCCTCTTCCCCTAACATCATAATTGTTGGTGAAGGGCTACATGCTCCCTCCCCAACCCCACACACCAGCGGGGCCTGACACCTGTGCTCTCTCACTTCTCTGTGCTGTGCTGAGCTCCCAGCCAGACCTGGGGCACATACAGAAACAAGAGGCAGACATGCTGAGGAGGAGGAAGGGAAATGACCTTATTCTATGGATGACACAGTCATGTACATTTAAAAATATCGAGAGTCCAACAGAACTAGCCATTTAATGAGCTTGTTTACCACGGTCACAGGATATATTGGCCATATACAAAAATCAGTTATGCCAACAGTATGTGAAAAAATGTTCAGTATCGCTGGCCATTAATGAAATGCAGATTAAAACAATCCTTCATCTTCCTGTATACTTTTAAGTCATCTGTAGATTGCTTATAATACTTTGTCGTTACAGTGTAACACAAGTAATTATACCTTAGAAGGTGACAAAGAAAACAGCCTACATGTTCTGTATAGAGACAACTTTTTTCCCTATTTTGTTTTTTGTTTTTTGGGGGTACCTGGGATCGAACACAGTACCTTGGCGCTTGCAAGGCAGGCTTGGTGCCGCTGAGCTAAATCCCCGGCCTCCTAAATATTTTCAGTCCATGGGTACAGAACCTTCAGATACAGTCCCCACTGTCCGTCTCCTGGGTCAGAATCCCACGGAGCTGAATATGCATTTCCACACCAACGCCCATCCTCAAATGTTTATAGTATCTTTATTTTTAATAGTTCTAAGCTGGACCCAGCCTAAATGCCAGTCAGTGGGTGTGCTCTTATGTAAATAGGGTGCTGGATCCATATCCTGGGAAACCACTGAGCAGTGGAAAGGAAGCTGCCCAGCAGTGCACATACAGCATGGATGACTCTTAACCTGATGCGTGGAAGAAGCCTGAGTGGAGAGGTGCACGCTGTGCTCACTCATGTGTGTGGTACTCTAGAGAAGTCCGTCCAGTGACAGCAGGCAGGTCGGCAGCTGCCTGCGATAGGAGTAGGGGTGGAGATCGATTGCCAGAGGCGGAATAGGGGGGCTTTGGGGGATGCTAGGGACTTTTCTTGTCACGGCGGGTGGAAACCTCACAGTGTACCTTTAAAATGGATTGGCAGAAACTGTGCTTCCAAGTTAATTTCTCAAAAAATGACAGTGTGGTCGATGATGACACCTTAATTAGGCTGAAGAAAGATGATGACTTAAAAAGTGACAGTGTATGGCTGGGGATTTAGCTCAGTGGTTCCTCTGCCTGCCTTGCAAGTGCAAGGACCCGAGTTTGATCTCTGGTACAAAAAAAAAAAAAAAAAGTGACAGTGCACTTTAGAGTGCAGGCTCCTGATGAATATTTGGGGCAAGTTCTTACTGACCGCTTTTCCAACAGCCACCCAGCCCAGAGGCTCCTGGAGACACAAGCTAGGTGCCTCTGCAGACTCCATAGCTGGAGCTCACCCACACTCATAGGCAGCAAGGGACCCAGTATACACAATAGCGTGTCTTGTTCGGTGCCCTGTCATGGTGGGGCTGCCAGTGATCCTTGGAGGTGCTCTGTGGCTCATCTTTTGCTCTGGTCATGGACTTTTTGCTTAAGAGAGGAACAATTGACAGGTGGGTGGCATTCTGAGTGAGCAAATCCAGGAACATTCCAGGTGCAGGTACAGAGACAGGAATCCTTCCTGAGTTGGCTGCTTAGCTGGTAACTTTAAAGCTACAGGGACATTGCCAGGAGCTTGGATTGAACATGTCTGGAGAACAGCCCTGTAGTGGTCTAACCTGTGCTCAGGGAGTCCTTGTTGTATGTGCAGTGTTGGGCTGGGTGTGTGGGCAGGGTCTGGGCCACAAGAACCCTTGGTGATGCCTTCTCTTTATTTGCTGTCTCCCAGGAATATGCCCAAGCCAGGTTTGATGCCTATTTCGAGCAGAAGAGGAGACTGGGGGTGTGACTGAGGACTCCACCCCCTCCACCACTGGACTCCCTGGAGGCAGCCAAGCGGGGCCTCTGCGCTGCAATCACTACACCTGCGTGGGGAGGTCTTGGCATCTTGCACTGCACACAGATGTGTATGATACTGAGGACTGTATTAAAGTGGAGTAACATTTATTTCCTATCTTGTTTACAATCTCACTAGGACTCTGAAACAAGATTGGGAGGCAGAAATATAGTACAATAGTGCAATATCTCAGAACCTTTTTAATCTAGAGGAGGTGGTTTCTCGGGAGCGTAAGACTTTCAGTCAGACATGGCCAGCAGCAGGAGTGACCAGTGTTACTGCGGATACTTTGGTTAATGTTGGTTTTTAAAAATTCTTTCATGAACATGCCGGTGGACATTGTGACCAGGCTCTTTGTGGGCGACGAAGTGTCGTAGACACTGCTCACTCCCAGGTGACACAAGACATACTGTGAAGTGGTTCTGCAGGCTGAGCTCCAGCCATGGAGTCTCCAGGAGCCTCTGGGCTGGGTGGCTGTTGGAAAAGCAGGTTACCCATGTGCCGGCAGGAGCTCCGTCCATGGATGGATGGATGGACAGATGGACATGCCCTGTACCTGTCATACACATGCTGGTACCTAGATGACCTTCACCATAACTGGAGATACCTGACTCAGTGTGCTTCATAACTCGAGCTTTGGGCAGTGGGGGCCTCGCTGGCTTCCTTTCCTCAATGTTCCCCGGGTGGAGCAGGCTGTAGGGCAGCTTCTTTACCCTTTCTCTCTTTCCTCTATCTGGACTGGAGCTTGGGATCCTGGGCCATGGGTGGCTTCCCCAGGGGCCCTCAGAAGCCTCCTTCTGCCCTTGGCCTTGGCCTTGCTTGTGGCCAGCATTCCCAGCCTCAGCCTCCCTCCCTTCCCCACATCCCTGATGTCAGTCTGTGGGAGTCGGCAGCCCTTATGTGGGGTTGGGGTCTCCAACAGACTATAGCTGTGAAATCCATAGATAGTAAATGTCCAATGGGATAAGTTCTTAGCAGACTTTTTTTTTTTAACTTTGAAGTCTTTGAATTTTTTTTGGTTTTTTGTGCATATATTTCTGCTACTACAGAGATTGTACTATACAAATAAAAAAATTAAACCTCAACCTCATGTCACTCTGAAGTGTCCTAAATCTCGCAGGGCATGTGGAGGAGGCTCCCGTTACCTCTTGTGCCCATGGGAGGGCTCTGCCCAGGTGCATATGGGCTGCTTAGCATCTGGATCTCACTGTCATCCTCCTTGTGGCACTTCATTCTCTGGGCCACCACACTCTTGGTTCCCCTCTGGCCTCAGATGTCAGGAGGCTTCAGGGTCTACCCTGGTCCCCTTCCTGAGGAGATCTTGCCCAGCATACTTGTCTGGGGATGCTCTGCCACTCTCCAGACTTAACCTCTGTGGCGCTGCTTCCTCAGACCCATGGAAGAGATTGGAAACTGGCTGGCTGTCCATGGGGAGAACTTAACGGTGAGCAGAGTCAGAAGGGAGACATTAGTATTCGCCAGTTTTACACAGCATGGTAAATGACACCACTGCCCTTGTGCAGCCTCTGTAGGATCACATCCAGTAGAATGAAGAGCCCTGCAGTTGCTGACCTTGGCAGCCCCACCCATCCCTTGCCTGCTGACTGCTTCAGCCACTCCCGACACCTGTCTGGCTCACACACCATTTCTTGTCTGTGATGCTTTTGGGCCAGATCTCCAAATGACAGGGTATTCTACCTGTCAGCTCAAAAGTTTCCCCATACCGGGGCAAGGTGGTAGAAACCTGTTATTCCAACACCCTGAGAGGCTGAGGCAGGAGGATCACAAGATTGAACCTAGCCTGGGAACTAGTTGACGAAGCCAGACCCTGTCTCAAAAAAGGCTGGGGATGTAGCTCAGTGTGAAGGCCTTGGGTTCAGTCCTTAAATATCAAGAAAAAAGCATGGGGAAAACATTTCTGAGCCCTTCCAATTAAATTGGTGCCATTCCTTTGATCTCCCTGGTGACCCCCACCCAGTTTAGTTTTTCCTGGAGTTCTTATCGGCTTGCTAAATTGTCCCCTGGATAAGCAGAGATTGCATCTAGCCTGGTCTGTCACCAGCTAATAGTCATTGCAGATGATCTCCCAAGGGCACTGGCCGGGATGGCTGGTTGTATGCCATTTCCATGGCAACTAGACTCTTAAGACAATCTTTCTGGGATCTCCCACACTGGGCTCAGTATCTGTCTCCCCAAGGTCAGTCTAGGAACACCCACAGCCTCCTGAAGCCTGTGCTTAGCCTCCCTGCTCTTATCCGGGCACTGTTACCCATGTCTGACCTGAGTCTACCAGGCACAGAAACTGTTCGGAGCCCCCCCCCCGCCCATAGTCCCACCTGGCTTCCAGGGGTCCTCAGCAGGGCAGTCTAGGATCCAAGGGACAAGTCGCCTCTTTCAGCAGCCAGTCATTGCCAGGGCCCAGGCCACCTTGACTTGCTGTGGCCAGGGCCTCAAAGTAGCCTTTGTTCCTGGGGCCTCTGGCTAGAAGAACCACTTTGTAGATTGTTTGCTGCAAAAATCAAGGCCTCCGAGAAGCACTGGCTCTTCTTCCCAGTCCGTGGTGGGTCTCAGGCCAGAGGGAAGATGACAGCCTCCAGGCAAGACAGCACCCCAGGGGAGAGGCAGTGGCCTCTATGAGACACTTCAGCCCCTGCTCTGACTTTCAGGGCCCTGGGCAAGTCCTTGGCTGCTCTGGACAGTTCCTGCCATTCCCTGGAGAACTGGCTGCAGGCGGATGATTCCACATGCACCACCAGGTTCATGGTGGGGTGTCCCAGGCTGCTCCTCTCTGATGCTGGGTACATGACAAGCACCTCCTTCCCCACAGTGTGCTAGATGTCCTCCTAGCCAGTTTGCATACCTCCAAGGGTGGAAGCTCACTTCCCTGATACGGCTGCAGGGCAGTAGCGCACACGAAGGTAGAATGCTGGAAACACCCCTCCTCAACCCTCCTGTGCCTTTTCCACCTGAGAGCCTGGGGCACTGTGGATATGCTTCTGGGTCCTCACCCTGACTTGAGGCCCAGCTCCTAGACGAAGGCTTCCCATCCCCTTCCCACTTCAGCTAGATAACAGGGTGAAAGTAGGCGCTAAGGGAGCCCAGAACCCAGGGCCCTGCCCTGGTGTCCTACAGAGGACCAGAATGCCATTGAGGTCTGCCTGCTCTTTATTCTTGTCTTAGGGAGGTAAGGATGTGTTGGGGTGCTATTCATCCTGGGCAGCAAAGGTGAAGGGGCTCAGCTTGTAGCCAGTGCCTGAGTAGAACTTGTTCTGGAACTCCACCCTGGGGGAGAGAAGGGGAGGCTGGTGAGGGTGCCCACCCAGCCCTTCCTCCCAGGCTGGCGGGGGATGCTTACCAGTGTAGCCGCAGTGCATGGAGGAAGGCCGAGAGCCCTTCCATCACCAGCAGGATGGCAACAGTCAACACGGCGAACGCGGCAAACACAGGGACCAGCATGACGGCCTGCACACCCAGCTTGAGGCCTGCGCTCAGGCCCACGCGCATCACCATGGCCCATAGGACCTCTGACAACTCTGCAGTAAGAGGGCCAATGGGTCCTGGGTAAGGAGGTACCCGTCAGCTCCCCACCCCAGGGCTGATGCCCTCTCTGACTGTGGAGCCAGCAAGGCACCTTCTCAGATGACCTGATTTCACGGAGGGAACACTGAGGCCTAGAGAGACAACCAGCCCCACCTGGAGCCAGTCAGTGTGTAAGGGAACTGGAGCCAGAACCCAGGCCACCCCACTTCCCATGCCAATCTGCTGGTCACTCACGGGCATGGGCCAGGCTCAGGGCCCAGAGGCGCAGGTAGGAGGCTGTGTTGGAGATGCAGCCAAGGCAGAACTCAATGGTATGGATGGCTTGGTGCATGAAGACCTCGGATGGGACAAACTGCCAGGTAGGCAGGCAGGTGGCAGTGAGGAGCACAGAGGGGACAGCTGGGCCAGGGGCCACCACAACCCCCTCAAGAAGGTGTCACACTCACCTCAACTTCCTTTTCATCCCCGGAGCACCCTGCCTTCTCCTCATCAGGACCCCAGCCACTCTCAGCAGCATCAGGAGTGTCTATAAGTTTGGCCTTTTCCTCGTCCTGGGGCAGAGGGTGAGATGTACAGTGTGAATAGCCCCCAGCCCCAGGAGAGGCCACACTGCCCACCCAGCAGCCTGCTCACAGCCACTCAAGCCCATGGGAAGTGAGAGGGATCAATGGTGGCCTGCCTCCCACACAGCCCTCCGGCCTCTACCTGTCCACCTGCAGGCCTTCTCTGCAGACGGTGGCTGTGCTGCTGGCGCAGCAGGTACAGAGGTTTGCCCAGCAGCAGGACAGGCACCGCGGCCAAGGCCAGGATCACCAGTGCGTACTGCACCACTTTCTGTGGGTGAGAGGGCACATCAGGCCGCAGTGTGCACAGCAGGTATTCGGCCCAGAGTGCCTCCCCCCAGATGCCCGTCACTCAGGGATGTCACTCCACAAGGACTCCTGAGAGGGGCCTCAGGCCACCAGTAACTACTGTGCATCACCCTGTGTGCAAGCTCCATTTCCTAGATGAGGATCCTGAAGCTGAGTGGCCCAGTGACACGGGGTCCCTACCAGCGCACACCACCACCTGGCCAGCCCACCTGCCCGTGGTACAGCGGCTGGTTGGTGGAGCTGCTGGAGAAGAGAAACATGTTGATGAAGTGGATGAGGATGCTGGGGGCGGAGGCAGAGCTAGCAGCCGAGTAGCACAGCCACTTGTAGATGACCAGGAAGACGAGGTAGCCGAAGAGGCCCAGCAGGAAGATGAGCTCGGGCAATGTCTCCAGCAGCAGCCGGTGGCCCTGGCCAAAGTGCCTGGGAGGGAGCAAGTGGGTCACAGGGCTACCCAGGCCTTGCGTGGCCACACACTCCCATGGGCAGCTCTGTCCTCACATGTGGTTGAAGATCCCCAGGACCACCCCAAAGACCATATGGGTGACACCCAGGATGACAGACATCTTCATCTTGAAGGAATTGAG